CCCAATCCGTATCGATACGTTCGCTTCACGACGACTATGCGACATCTATTTTTTCGATACTCATCTGTGGCCCAGTTAACCACGCCTTCAGTTCGCAAGGGTGGCCATTATTTGGCTGCTTGTGGTTAGTTATATGTGTGTAATTAGGGTTGCGTTTATATGTTGAAATAATAACAGCAAGAATACAATCATACTTTTTGTCGATTGATACGTTTTTCTTAGACCGTGTGTTATTCGATTACGTCAGCCGGTTAGACGATGGTTGAATATAACTATTTATTGCCATTGTTATTGCCTCTGTTACGCGCTGTGGGGCAAATATCAAATTATCTGTATTGTTTGTTAGGCAACTCGATCGTTGGGGTTTATCTGACGCGACCGGGCTTGTGCGGTTCGCTTGGTTGCTTATCATGCGCCATATTATATGAATTTAGTTGACTCTTGGGCCGTCGTTTTCCCTTATCCCACACATAAAATAAATTATATCTTCGCAGTCCTCAGTGGACTTGCCAGTAAAAGTGTTGTTATCGCGGTGACCATCTGGGGGGCGGAGTTGTAATGTTGATTTAAAAATGACACCAGGCAATATGGCTGGTCAGCTGCCACCGTGCATTTCGCTTTGCGAAAAGGACTTACCAACCTTCTGTGCTGTGTTATTGGAAGTTATCGTGGTACACCTTTCCATGTATACAACGGTTCACCCTAATAAAGAACATTTCTGAAGTAGTACGATACGCAGGCTGGTGTCACTGATACTTATTATATAAGGGCCAGTTCGCGTAAACGCTTCGAAGTCAATAAAAATACCTATCGATCTAGTGGAGGATATATACGCTGTATTTCGCTGAGCGTGTAAACGTACCATGTCTATTCGTTAGACTTAGAGACACGTGATAATCGAGATTCGAAGCCGGGCATAGACACATTTTACTTCATGTTGAGAATATAAAGTATAGTTTAAGCACGCAGAAACGGGCATGAAACTTAAAACGCTAATTTCCAATAAACGTATTGTACTGGTTACGGGTGCTTTACTGGAATGTTCCATTGGCAGAGCTCAGGTGTGTCAATAACTATAATAATAATAACGTAACGTGCGATAGGGGCTGAATTTACCCCTTATGTTATAGTGAATACTGTTCTAGACCATTTCCTTCATTCAACTGGTTCTAATAAACAAAGCAACCAGCTGCTGTTTGAAGAAAAACATGTTGTTATGCCTGTTCTTCTATTCTTTTTTATATGCGCCCATATCTCTGTTTATTACAATTATATATATATATATGCGAAGTGGTCAAGACTAAGTCTATAGATGAAAACCGAAAGGTGAGAAAAAGTAATCCTCTTATTGTGGAAAAAAACTAGCTTTTCAGTTAATGTAGATGCTTCCTCAAGTATACACCTGCTTTTTCGTAACCGCAAGCTTACTTTTGTCTGTTTGTTTATAAAGCGTATGTAAGGATATACTTGGTCGACAACTAGTTGATATTATCAACGCAAGCGAATATGTATGCAGCGGTCGCGCTAGAGTGACGGCAATGAGCAACGTGTTCGTAACGGCTGGCGGTACCGAGTGAAATTACGAAATGAAACTAAAAAGGGCTTACTGCTATCAGACGCGATTTTGCTCCTAATGCAGCTAAACTGAAACGCCCAGGCAGCTTGTGCCGTTACTTGACAGCTTGCCCCCGATAGCTAGAGCGGTTTTTTGCCGCAAGAGCAAAAACCCGACCAGACGGAAAGTTTCGATCGAAAAGAAAAAAAAAGAAAGGCAAAGACTTTAACATTGAAAACTGAAAAACAAAAAATACAGCTCTGAGTGGTGACATGGAGCAGATTCACTGGCCTTTGTGTACTAACAGCAATAAGTGTAGAGGGATTTATTCTTGTGGTAGTTATCATTATGAAACAGACGACACGATATTTTTCGGGGTTGCCGCATGAAAAGGAAAGGGAAAAAAAAAACGAAAATTATATCGATGCTGTTTACCATAGCTATTTCATAAGGCTAGTTGATGATTTTTTTTAATTGTCTCTTTTTGCCGACCTTGGAGTCCCTAGGCAGCCTCATTACTTCTGGCTTGCCGGAGTCGTATTGGATTGATTCTACGATTACATAGTCTCATCATTTTCTCCTTACTGTGAGTGTTCTTTTTTACGAGAACTATTTCTATAAAAATGTTTCGTGAGAATATTTAAATTCTAAGGCGCAACTTATGTAAAGCCAGAACTATAGATTCGTCTCCGTTATAGTGCGGTGGATAGCTTGTTTGTGTGCTAAAATTAGAAATAGGTAGCGGTTTAGATTTGAATTCGGGCATAGCCAGAATTCATCTCATGGTAGAAGCTGACGTAATATCTAATACGTGGCATACTTACGGGATGTTAAACGCGTCTCTTGAGGCTTAACGTAGTTCATATTCCTTTTCTTACTGAGAGTCACCCGCCTGGGGCAATATTCAACGACGGAACCAGATAGGAAAACACTTGAGACGTTCACTTGAAGTTAGCAGTACTAAGCACGTGCAAAATTAGAATACGCTGATTTATCTTATATTAAATACATTTGATGAGCAACTAAAGGGTATTTTACCGCCGCCTAGAAAAACTAAATAGATTTCCTGTAATAGGGTTTCCCAGTGATGTTAGCGTTACTCCTGCCTTTATTGTTGCTAGTGGCCTCCTTTTTTTTAAACTTTTTTCATTTTTATCCTTGGTTGGTTTTATACTTGGTTAACTCCTGTACATCGTCTATAGAAATTGTGCGAAGGGTTATGAAGCGCTCGCTTCTGCTAAGCAAATCTGCTTTATTTTCTGTGCGGTACTAGGGTGGCTGGCGGTACGAATATTTACCGAGTACTTGAGTGACCAGATAGCGTTACTAGAACTGGCGTTCGACGAGGTTCAGCCGAAAAGGTTCGTTGAATGAGTGGGAACATTTGCGTGAATATTACGAGGCGTCCTATATATATATATATATATATATTATATCCATATAATCCTACTCAGAACCGACGAGAGAGATTCTAGGTGTGGTCCAACCCGTGTGCGTGGGATACGACCAACGGGACTGTTCTAAAGGAAAGGTTATCAACAGTTTCCTTTCGAAGAAGCCAACAGCTCTTTTGTCACTACGGCTCGAACGGAGAGGTGAACGAAAGCTGCTTGTTGAGTTGGACCTTAAACTTAAATTTAGCGTATTTACGTCTAGCGTTCAAAAAACCGCGTGCTACATTTTTGAACTTCGTCTCAGCTGCTAGAGTCTAATTAGCTCTAATAGTTCGAGATATATGTTGCACAAGCTTGACGTTCGCTCCTGGCGGCACACGTAGCAAAGGGGGAGTGCTGTTTCAAGTAGAGTCTTATCAACGCGCAGTCCGCGCAAGTCGCGATTAAGGCAAACACCATAGTAGCAAGGCCCAGCGATGTCAGCACTGTGAAGCTGGAAGCTTGTTGTGCGAACCCGTTAACCCAATGCGAGCCATCGAACGTTCAGTGCATTGACCACAACGACGGTGATCAGGGTGCGACGGAAAAGATGCAAAATTAACGAAAGCAACCTATATTGGACAGGTCTGAAAGCACCACGACCAGTTCTGGCAAAGGCAGCCGAGATCTTGGTGTTTCTAACCTGTCATCTGGGCCATCCAGATGCAAATTAAACTGTACACTGGCTGACTGGTGTACTATTTTCCGTACTAGGGGATAGTAATTAGAGGTCGTGAGAACTCGTGCAGTTACGACGTGTGCGAAAAAACCGGGAGCCCTTTTTTCCTTTTCTGTTGACGAATTCACCGCTGAAAGGAGATGGGAACCGACCCTATTGAGCGCAATCACAGCGCGTACTGTCACAACAGTAAGATGTGCTTTTGGACGACGGGAGCCTGATTGTGTGGACCTGTTACCGCTGGCTAGTGTAAGGTGTTCCTAATGGGTATCAGGCGCACGAATCCGTGCAACTCGCTATTCGGTGTTGAAAACAACACCGTCCCAGTTCACAGGCGCAGCAAAGGATCTCGAAAAGGCCCGGACAGCACGACGTTAAGTTACAACTGCTGGACGCTGCTCACTATAAACAGATGTGGAGATAATCATTTTGAGCTGTCAGGGTTCGATATTGCTTGTAGAGCCAAATAAAATCAGTGTCAGGAAAAACTATGTTAATTCGCAGTTAAACAAGCTAGCCCATAACGATACGCATGTCTTTCTTCCTGCTCATAGTAAAATCAATTGTACCAATATACAGTAATTGAAATTAGTAATAATAATATGTTTCTACGATATCTAATCCGCGATGATATATGCTGTGAGTTCTATTGGAAACATTGTTTGTCATTTTGTTTTTTAAATAGTTTTATCGTTTTCTTTAATCTTCGAGTATAATAAAGCACTAGACTTTATCATCTTCGTTCAGTTGATTTTGTGGAATTAATCTTACAAACATAACTTAGGCCGCTACGTTGGCAGTAACTGCTAAGCAACTTACTTGAATATTTGCTTTATTTGTAAAGGAAATATTCAATTATCTCTTTATGGTGATGACGACATATACTCTTGAGAACGTTTTAAACTATTCTTCAGTTCTGTTGCAATTAATCACTACTACGGTACTTGTCGTAAACAATGAAAATGGCCTGTCTCAAAAAGAAACTAGGGAACTAGTTCGTGAATAGACAATAATTTTCTACAGGTGCAACGAACGGCTTTTAAGAAGATTTTCGCTAACACTTGTCACACAGACATCGTAATAATAGGATTTCCATGGTCCTTCCTACGGTGAACAGCAATTTAAAAAGTAATCGGCCAAGCCATAATAGGAAGGTCAAATAATAGGAATACGCCGCACAGTCTCTGGGATTCACATGAACTCAATTTCTGCAACGATACTAACTCATTAAATAATAGTTATAATAATAGTATTATACTATATAATGACAAGAACATAAATAAGCTCGGCCTTTATTAGACGCACTGTAAGCGGCTTAAACTAATTTTGTTAGCCCACTTTTATTCTAAGCCATGTTATTGCTTCCCGCTTTAGTCTCGTAGGGCTTTACTGCTACTGAAGCTATGAGGTCCGATCGACCTCGTAGTTACCCAGCTTCTACATGAATCTCTCCGAGGGTGTTCGTGTACTTCTTGTCGTGGAGATACTGTAGCATAGATACTTCCTTTCCACATCAGAAACATTTGCACGGCCATGAAAATTCAAACATGCCACATATCCGTGCCTAGTTCCCGCAGTGCACCTCTCTTGAATTTAAACATTTTACGCAAACTTTGGCCTTCGTTCGTATTTGTCCTGTTTTTCGTATCGATGTTGTTTCCGAGTCAGGATCGAGTCGAAATTCCTATGGCGAAAAAAGTTCTATTTATTTCTAGTAATTAATCCACTTCGAAGCTGGTACACGTGGTTGTCGTACTTATTGGCAAGCTTCTATTACGGCATCGTCCGCTCTAGCGAAAAATAAAATGCAATCAGAGGGCTAAAAATGTTATCTGTTAAAATGAGAATAGCATTAAAGATTTTTAATTTTCTACTTTTTAATAGAAAATGAATGGTATCGTCGTAATTAGCGCTGTCAACTTGGGACAAACGCCGTGTTTATTCGAATTATTTACACATGTTTGATTAGAATGAACTTCGTAAGGAGTTTTCTATAAATGCGCCCAAAGTTAGTCCTATTTTCAATTGAGTTCATTAACGAACAGCTCTCGTTAACGTTAGAGATGAAACAGCCACACTCGGCTTACGGCCATAGACGACTTGGGCACGTGTGTGCATCTACCTGTACATGTGTGTATGTGATTTAAAACGTAGATGAAAAAGTTTATATCTACAAAGAACTCTGTGACTATTCGTTCTATAAACTCACATGTTAGCGATGGGAGCAAACTAGTATTCCCGGGCAGAGCCATTGGTCGCGAATTATTTTTTAATATATATGTATATATTTAGATTTGGCGCTGCGAAGCTGATGGTTGTCGTCGACTTTGCAAATCGTGCTAACTGTTATAAACACTTCCTTGGAATTCACTCTCGGTGCGGCGGATGATATGTATCCGGCAAGAAAAAAACAAAGAACAGAAAAGAAGTCGATCGTGTTTTTTATTTATCTGGACTGTAACTCTGTAAAATTTTCAGCTCATTTCCGTGTGAACTCTATAAATAAGAAAGTCTCTCCACCGGTATTGTGATAATGCCTCTTCGGTTGTCGGCAAAATTGCGAAAGGGTAATTAATATGGATCGACAACCGGCGGCACCGCTTTCACGACCTACCTAACGAAGACCTGATCTGTAAAAAAAAATCGTCCAGCTATTTTTGTTGCAACCCTATATTCTTTTGCACTCCTTTCCAACTCGTACATTTATATAGTCTCTACAGAAGGCATCGGCTAATATTCTACATAAGGTTTCCTAACAAAATCACTTTTCCATTATAGGGTTATGTAATCGCATCGGCCTCCGTACAGCATCAGCATTTCTGGACACTTACCAAATGAATATACCCTGAAGCCTATTCAATTATCCGTGCATTAGGGTAGTAAGCGCTAGATAAATTTCCAATCGAATGCTTAACAAATATAATTATCACTTTCTTAGAGGTTTGAGGTCCAACCCAGTTCAACTACATGAAAGGTCTGAATAATTGCTCAAGTTTAGGAATAAAGTGACATCGCTACCAAAATAGACTTTCTCTTAAGAGCGAAGAAAGCCTAAAATATGTACAGCAAGAACGGATATGGGCTAATTATTTTCAAAAAAAATGAATCGATTTTCCGTTAAATGTCAGCAATACCAATTTCTTAAGGTGAGTAACGTGGAAAAATAGTTAGATTTATTATTATTATATAAAAGTAACTATCGACAGATATTCCATGAATTAAAACAATGGTAAGGCAAGTAAACACCTTCATAGTTCTAAATAAAATATGAAAAAAAACTTGTTCTTCCATAACTTTCACAAGTAAGAGCTATACACACATACTACGAATGTAACCACGTGCTAATGAAGTCAATTCCCGCCATAAATTAGTTTTTGTCCGTTACTCTCTCGTGGCAATGAGAACTGTGTTTACACTTTTATATATATATATATATATATAAACGAGTTTGATATAGAAAAACAGTAGTACTTCAAGTACCGTACTATCGTACGGTACGTCGTATCTCGATTTTCGCCAGGCCCCCAGTGTTGCTAGCACCTAGTAGTCTTCGAATCAAATGTAACACTGATTAATGAACGTGCTACGAGTGTCACTGCGCTATTTAGTACTCACAAAAATATTAGGGGTTGCTAGTTAGAATTCCGTCAAGGACGTGGTGCACGCTCTTGTGTGACCAAAATAGTACCACAACTAGTAGATGGTATCATTATATATTAGGATATATTTTCTAGTGAACGTGAATGTTGTATGCGTCCAAATGCAATCCAATTAATAATATAACAGAATAATGGGGTTTCGTTTTGTGAGCGATCAGACAGTAATACAACAGCCTTTATGAAGTGACGATTCTATACCGTGAGGTAAGCGGAAAACGATCTTTTTCGCCTACTCCAAAACAACCCTACACGGGAACCAAGTGGTCCAATTATTCAGCCTAACAATATTTATAGTGATAATACTGACTAAGCAAGTATTTGAAGCAATGACAATCAAGAGGCTCCGTAGTTCCGATAGAGGTCAAAAATTTAGTAACAACAGAAGAGATCTATGAAAAAAAAATTTGCGCTGATCGACCCATATCTAATGCGCATGCCACCGTTACCCCATACTATTCCACTAGAACTCAGCCTTTTAATACGTCATTGTGCACGGTTGATACGGTACACTTTAGTTATTAGGTGCCTGTCTGGTAATTCTGTATCACGAACCTCGTACAAACACCATTAAAAGCTGAGATTAAATCGGCCTTGTCCAAACGATGTTGTAAAGAGGCCATGTTACCGAAAACTATTCCTCATGCACGAATCGTATCGAATTTTTTCGCGGTATCGTTGCAGTGACACCCCGCGTAATCGAATTTTTAGGCTTTATTTCGAAAATTCAGCCACTCATCGACTTTTGTACCACGCCCCTGAATGCCGTAACGGCAATCGAGAAGACCTATTAGTCTCTGTATAGCAATTAGCTTCACCGCAGGCAAACTATTGAGATAGCCTATAATGTCGATAAGCGGAAATGTTTTATGCAATTAAACAATCGTCAGATATGCCTTCTGCGTAAAATGGCATAAAATTTGAAGCAAAGCACGCGTGGGGCTTGATTCATTCGTGCCAAAACACCGCCGAAATTACCTATTAATTTCGCCTTAACTTTCGCGCTGCGGTCTTAATTGTTGAGTTTCTTCTAACGACTGAATCATGATGCAAAACGACGACCTCGATTGCAACCATCGGGCCGGATATAAAATCGGTATTTTATTTCCACACTTCGTAGTTGCACCGCGACACCTATGGCTTTCTCGAAAGGGGTTTCCTCAAAAAAATATTTTCACAAGCATTAATCCCTCAGGAAGGACGCGCTACAAGCGGCTGCGGATATAAAAATAAACTTAACCCTAACCGCTCAAAGTCCCAGGACAAACAGCAGCTAGCAAAAAAGCTTGGCTGATTTTAGCGTACAGACGAAAACATCAAGTGGCGAAGACTTATGATCTGTCCTTTTCGGTGAAATTCTCCGACGGATTTTTGCTGTTACTAAACGACAAATACGTTATTGTAAACCAATAATAAGAATAATACACAATATCAATATTACGTTTCAGAGAAGTCTTTCTTAACCTACAACCACAACTGCGACAGCGTTTTCAAATACTGAAAAAAAATCTACGCGTCATTTTACGGTACGTTTATTTAGGAACTATTTGTCATTCAATCAAAGACTATCTAAAGCATAGAGAACTATAGTGTATTGCTTCTATGGATTATTGGAAAGTACCCATTTCTCAATTCATGCTATTAATTATGCGCGAGATGAACTTTATACTAGATATGTTGATCGTTTAAGTAATAGCGTATCTGCGTAGTACCCCAAAAAAAACTCTTATTGGTGGTGTGGTTCATTTCTACCGCCAGTGCACTTATGATGCCCCCCGTATACTTCAGTATTTGGCCTGCCATTTTGAAGCGTAAATATTCTCAAGAAGATTTATTTATTAAAGGCCATTGGCTGTTTAAATCTCAGCCAAAGCTTATTAATTGGTTTTAGGTTCTTGCTGTGAATATTCTCCAGGGCGATGAAAGACCCTCAGGTGTTTCGGGTTTTACGTCCAGTAAAACGTTGTATTAGGCGCTTCCTCACGACACAAACGAACTGTGTCTATGTTAACCAATGCTTTAAGCGATTCAAAAACAGTCGTTAAAAAATCTCACCGTCAAATACTCTCTAATTTGCGGTGCAAGAAACATTGTAGTTATGAGCATTTAACGGAACATTTAGGAAGGAATCTGTCTTGGGGCGCCCCAAGAGGTGCACAAGATTGCACAAAAGATGTTTTTATCTTGATCAACCTTCACCTATAGTCGTCATCAGTATGTTCCAGACATCAACTTGGATTTACATGCGACTAATATACTACTTAGATCTGACCCTAAGCGATTATATTCATATAATCAATTTTATAAGTGTAGTATACATTCGTGTCGCTAAAAACAATGAAATACACTGTGGATGATAAATCCCCAAGCGTCAAGTATATCAGAATGCTATCTAATCTAATGATAAGTTTTTTTTTTGCAGAAAAAAAGAAAACCACGCCTTTTCCTGTTGTTTTGTCCTGTTCCTATTGTTTAACGACAAAATTGTGAAATATCATTAAAAAATGGTAGAAATTTGTGGAACACCTTAGTGTGCATGTTAGGCGTGATAGAGGGGTATAGTAAAAGTAGCCTTATAATCGAATATAACAGAAGTATACAATTGGGAAGGTGCTTTTGTTGCACATTTTTAAAAACGTAGGCTTACAACTAAAGCAGCATCCTGTCAAGCGTAAACCTGCTTTTTTAATCTCGTAGCATATTTTTATTCGCAGGTATACTGTTGCCCCATCCTGTATATGATACATTCTGGAAACGTGCCACCTAAAATTAGATACGATAAAGCTATTATGCGTTGTTAAGTTCATTCTTCTTTGTTAACATCGGATGTGCCACTGATGAACATCTACGATCAGATATCTCTGGGACTTTGAAAACGGGTGATACATTGTATCTTTTGCCAAGTAAAACCGTTAAGAATGCCCTGAAAATACTCTCCAATATAAGCGCCTATACTTAACCTGAAGAGACACAATTTACACACCGCCAGAGAAAAGCCTATTTGATGAAGGCCATTTTGTAAGCACTTGCAAAATGAAGTAAGGTAGTCGGCCTCTTGGCTAGTTTTTAATGTTTAGAATAATGTTCCTCAAAGCAGCTTCGATGGCTTAAGGGAAAATGGTTCATCAAGTCGTTTTCTCGGCAAGTCGTATGCGTCCAATTATCTATTATTCTTTATTTTTAATATTTCACGAAATAGTTATTTTCAGTACGAAGGTTGCCTCCGTAGAACCTGTGTTAGTATATCCTTAAAACCAGATCACACTGGGTGCTTTGAAGGATTCTGCTTTTGACATTTCGAATTTCGCCCAGCCTCAAGCTCTAAACAGGACGATTGAGTTCGCCACCGTCATTAACAGCTGCCCCGTTTTATCTTCGCATTATTCTTTATGGCATTATCTTCGCTACTTTCATAGCTTTGTTTTTTTTCTTTCTTTCTTGAGGTGCCTTATGCTTAAAGCAATTTCTATTCTTTTGCCTTTAACCTCAATTATCATGCCGTTTTTTGCTCTGTTCATCAAAGGCACTTCCTCTCCTTTCGCCGACAGTAATCTTAAGCTACACTGTGTCATTTAGGTAGCTGTTTCAGCCAACGTGTGTCTTACACGAATCTCCAATTCCTTCGCTGTACGCACCCATACATTTCCCGCAAGGTCGCCCATATATATGATCAAATCCATCTACGTTGGCAAGTATGGTACTCGCAAGACTTTGTCGCATGCCAGACTCAAAAGCAAAGATGGTGAGACACCGCGGTCACGGCAAACTCGTCACGTCACTATACTAGTGCTTAGATAGCTTAAAACGACCCATACGATGTCCTGAATAACATTTTGTCTTTTCAGCTGCTCCAAAATTGTCTTCCCAGTCAAACTGTGAAGCGAGCTCTAAACATCCAGACTCTTATAGTTATCGATGCTGTCTAAAACGGTATTGACTATCTGAAAACAGAGCGTTTTTCTCGGCGAAGGCCCAGACACTGGCCTCAAGCATAGCCTTGAGGTTTTTTGCTAAGAATCCTAGTTGGCAAATGGGACGGTATGAGCCATTTTTCTGGTGGCAAACACATCCTGTCCAGCTTTTTAGGATCGTGGGAGCACTTTGCCCTACATGATTTTTGTAGCCACCATAACCTAGGAAACTTTTTAAGCGTGTTTTCATGCCAATTTTAGGAACTTGACATGGCTGTATTCGTTTTTACTGCCTTTTTTTGTTCCCCAACTTGCCGTACCTTATCGATTATCACAAATGGAATATTTTATTCTTCTGTCTCTTCCTCGCAAGGAAAACGATTAAATTCAGTGCGAGTAGAGAACAGGCTTATTATTATTACTATTACTTCCTTTTTCCCCTGTCAGCTGTGTAAATGCCCTTTCATTACTCGTTGTAATCAGCAGCATGAACCGTATCTAGCGGCAATACTTAACGTAAATTTTTCGTAATTATTCGTTATTTATTTATGAGTAATAATAACAATAAGAAGAACAACAACAACAACAACAGGAACACAATTGCCATGCAAGCTTAAAGCAGGTGAAAAAAAAAACTAGTAACACCAGCCTACCTGATTTAGCTGCACGAAGCAGTTGTCCTAAAGGTACATGTTAGGTCGCAGCATACGAATCCGGATATAAGCTAACTAGTAATCTGCACTCTAGCACAGGAATACCCTTTCGAACCCCTATATCAGTTCCAAAAAGTTTAAGCTCAGAGGTAATGACAGTTGTACTTCGATGCCGTCAAAACTCTTCAGAAGCTTGCTGCTTGATAATCCGTCGTGTAATTATAACGGCATTTATCATGTATGAGATAATCTCATTGATTGGGTCATAGGACCAACGGGGTATCATCGCACGTGACGGATCACTGCGTTCCTTTAGATAGACCCTCGCTCAGATCGTATAAAAGTTGGCGCAACTGTTGCCGATTCGTGTCACCTACCCAAGCTGAGTTGAACTGCTAAGGATCAGGTTTACACAAAAAGTCATTTGACTTGAAATATATTTCCGCTATAGATAATATATGATTCAACTTATCAAACTTGAATAAGGTCTTGGAAGTTACCACCCCTTAGTTTGGCTTTTAGATGTCATCATATTTGATTACCATGGTATTACTTATGTCATTGACAACCTATGTCATTTCTAATGGAATTGTCTAGCGAGCTATAACGTAGGCACACGAAAAATGGCAGCAGAAATTTCCACCAAATTATTATTACTATTATTAATGAACGCACGAATCACAGTTACATTGTACACCAGCTACAAATATGCACCGTCTATCTCATCTACTGAAGTAATTTCCTTTCTACCTAGGTCTTTCTGCAGTACTAACGCATAACTCAATGGAATATTGCAGGGGCTACTTCAGCAATAAATTCAAGATCGAAAACGAGCATCTTTTTTATTCCCTATTACTTTCTCTGGTCGTCTGCTAACCTCTGCCCTGCGCCATAACAAAGCTGCTCACAAATATTCAGCCGTAAAGATAAACATAGAGGCTAAGACGAATCGTAGAGAAGCTTACTTCTGCTAGATTAGCGGCCACGTCTGTGTGTGGTGTCCTTAGACCTCTCGTTCTTACAAGATTTTAACCTAAGACAGCTCGCGCTTTTCTTGTTCCTTTCTTAAAGTCAACCGTCAATCGTGTTGATTTGTATATCCGACTGCTAGTGTTAGAGTAATTATAGCACGAGCACTATAGATGCAGTCTATTATATCTAGATTCCTCTTTTTGTATCCGATCCGTTCGGCCGCAATACAACTTTCTAATCTCTAGCCATTGTGTTTAGGGTATTTGTTCATTTGATGAAATTTCGTTCGTTTTGTACCTGGCGTATCTAAGAAATCGATTTCGGTATTACAGGCTACTAACAACTGATGAATATCGCCAGCCTTCCGCTAATACAGAGTCAAGAAAGGAAATTTCAAATACTGCACGAGGACCCTTGTTCAATAAATAATACACCCGACGAAATCCCATTAGGGACTGTATTAGATAGTTTTGCTGCTCCCAGTTAAACGATGTTTGCGGTCGAATAAAGTACTATTGCTTGCATACGTTCGTCTGCATTGAGTGATTTCGGCAGCTCGGCCAAAGAAAAGTGGCGGCGGCGGTATTGTCCTAAGCACTACCAACTTTTTTTTTCATTTTCAAATCGAGTCATGCGTATAGTGCACTCTTTTTCTGTGATGCACCCGAATGTCTGCGATGGTAATGGCGAGACGCCTGAAATGCATTTTAAAGTAACGTTTCACCGCCCAGGCTTGCTTTGTTGCTTCTTTCGAATGTTGGGCGCGTCCTCTTTTAATCGCAGATGAATAAAGGAAATCATCCCAGAATATTTACAAAGGGTTTGTGAGGCACTGGCCTGACATGAGAGGTTTCGATGCTGGTTTGCCTGGATCAACAGGCCATATTGTATAGGTTCCTGCGCAAAACACCTATGAGAAGATTCAGCGTGACTTTTATCACAAATATTTTCGCTAAAGCTACTTGTTTCATCCTGTTCATTCGTTCCCGTTCCCGTTCCCGTTCCCATTTCCTATGCCGTATTTAAGAAATTAGAACTCCAGTGATTTCATACGCCCGACCAATGCCTATATCCAACATATAATTGCCTCAAAAGTATGTTGCTTCTGACCTTGCTAGAAATCCTTGTAGAACTGTTGTTGTATAATGATCTTTGCAATATACCTGACAAAGGTAAGCGGACTGAACCAGTATCTATAAAGCCGTACTTTAGTATTCAAATGAACGAACTTCACAAGGACACGCAATTGAAACTATGCTGTAGTACGTCCAATTAAAACTAAAAACAACCTTTAGCCTTAAGCTAAAGAAGAAGATAGGAAATTCACTACTAAATAGGCTTGCCGGTATATTGTATAGAGTATTAAGGAGGCCGTAAAACCCTATGGATTTAAACGTTATGACGTGTGTTCTGGAGTCCGTTTCTTTTAGGATACTTCAAAAGGAAACGCAATACACTGGGGTCGTGTGACTATCTGATCGCTTTTTATTATATCTCTACAGGGAGCACGCCAGTTGGTCGTTGTTATGTGAAAAGTAAGGGTTACCATTGTATAACGGTCGAAGGTAAATTAAACAGTGTAGAGCTAGCACGGTTCGACGGTCTAATAATATGAGACTGCACACGAAAGGGCCTACAAGGAATTGACTTATGCATAAAATGTCGTAGTTCGAGGATTGGGAAGGGAAGGGAACGAACAGTAAATCACTTCCTTCTTTAAAAAAAAATGCCTTCTTAACCACTCGTTTATTGACTCGCTCACGCGTAATTCCTGTGACTATTAGGCCCTCGAAACTTTAACCTTTTTAAAGCTCTGACCTTCAGTCCAGTGTGCGTCTCCTTGCAGAGAAGGCTATACGTATGTATTTTTCTATGCGAAAGCGATGCGATGGTTCTCCTATATTCTCGATACTAAATGTTGTATTGCAGAGTGAATTATATTTAATTTACTGATTATTTTTAGCAGTAATAGCAAGCCGAACAAAGAGTATTGTTCGCACTTCATATCGAGGTGACATAATATTTTCTTAATTTAGAAATTCTGTACGAAAAAAAGTGATGTATTTGTATCAAAAATTGTCAATAAGACCCCCTTGTGACATTGTGCAAACACTTCAAAGTGGGTAATCTTCGGCAGTTCTTAATGGAAAAGCGTGGAAAGACAAACGACCCCTAGACTGCTAGAGGAAACCCGCCGAAGAGTTAGATACTTCACACATGTTATACTGACCAATCTTGAACAATCATTTAAAGGCAAGGAAACTCACAGCAAGTACTGTATATAGAATCCGTACTTCGACCAAATGAAGATCTGTTAACAAATGTGTCAAGGAAGTGTTCGCTTACCACAAGCAGTTGAATGTGCATAGGTAACAAAACGTGGACGCACAGGTTCGATGAAAGCAAAATCGTCCGAGCATCACTACGAAATTAAGCAAGAGGTGAGCTTTTTCGACTATCGGAAAGTTGTGCATTAATCGAGCAAGCAGGGCTGATTCTAAGTCTGTTTTCTGAAGAACTGAGAATTTTAGGATCTTTAAAAATGGCGACACGCGTGCATTGATTCTGGCGGAGATTTTTTCGAAGGGTACACTCTTCGAAAAAATGAGATTTATATTAGGGTTTAAACGATTACGTACATATGGGCGTATGCAATTCATCCAGAGCCTAGCTTTCGGCGCTATTTTTGATTTTGTAAAGTCTGCACCATAGCGCTCGTAAAACGCCCCAGTATATATTTGGTATAATAATCAAGGAAATTAAACAAAGCGTACGACTAGGCAAGACTTCGTTGTAGTGGTAAAACAAACAATTCGTAACGATCGGCGCCGCTATAATTGAATCATCTCTTTTCGTAGAAGCAGAACAAGAATTGGTCTTCCTGACGAACCCGAGGAATACATATGAACGTATTCTTCGAGCTTCCGCTAAGATAACCCAACTACACTACTGCGAACCCAAATAAATGAAATTTGTGTCGGCTTTCCGAATGGAGAGAGACAAGTAATTTCGAAAAAAAAATGTATGTCAGGTACTGGATCGGTAATTAGCGTTTTAACGTTCCGCACAACCATTCATATAATGATTTCAGGTTGTTTTGCTCGTTTTTAACCACCAAAATTGTTTAGATTAAAGCATCTGTAGACAAGGACTCGCTTTACAAAAAGAAGACTATCAGCATTTTTATCTTTGGGTTAAACACCGTTTCCATTAAGGATACTTCAATAGCTGTCTCTTTTTCGGTTTGAAACTTTTTTGCATCTATAAGGAAGTTTGGAAGATCTTTTTTGCAGACTGTCTAGCATACCCCACACGTTTTCTTGAGTGGTCCATAGTAAAATCGTAATTGTAAGACAACCACTAATCTTACGAGGCATTTATCTCTTGATATTATTTAGAATCCCCATAGAGCTATGAATGCGTTCCCTTTAATTACTATTTTCTGGGGTATACTAGCATGATCCGAAGCACTTGTCTTGTATAATTCAGGACCCTCGGACCGAAGTTAGGTCATCTCTAACTTAGTCGGGAAATACATTACGCCTATAAGCATAATTATTAATCAATATTATTTTTGAATATGCAATTACAATATAAGTAAGCAGATAAACCAACTCATTCGAATTTGCCAAGGACTCTTTGGTTGTTGTCGTTTTTTGAAGATTACAAATATTTCGCCACGAGTTTGCATTTCAAGGTGAAACCGAATGTTGCGACGCCTTTTAGCAGAGTTAGGGCCGATTAAGAACCCAACTATCGGTCGTCTACTTGTATAGCACTACAAGCGTCGATGACCTTCGTCATGTTGAAACACTTCCTCTGCTGCATGTCTATCTTAAAATGTCTTACATTTAACCGCCAGCCTCTGACAGAATTTCAGCGAGATTGGTAGGCTATTGTTACTGTTTGTCGAACATTTCGATTTAGGATAACTAACTTTCGCGGAAATATCTCTAGATATGAATGTTTACAATGCTAAAGATGTCAATACTAATAAATATGTAGCTATTTATATGATAGTAATGATAAAGCCAAAGTGCCTGGGTCAGCATGCTTTGCCTGTCAGTGTCGAATTTGGTCGCCAGTAAATATACGACTCCGCTAACAGAACTAGAACGCTTTTTCCTCGCTCCTAACGGCATGCCATTAGGTGTTCATTACCTTTAAGAGACCCTGCCGTGTCCTGGAGATAATAATCGCAAGGTATCAACTAATTAGGGGAGACGACCAGTTGGACGCGGGTACTGAATTTGTTATCAAGAGAATTGATGATTATTTTGCTAAACCAGTATAGCCGCATTGCAGAGGCTAAATATATAAAGTAGGTATTTGGTTAACAGTTGTATAGTTATCCACTGCGTTCTCGCAAAGATCTTTTGGGCAAAAACCTAGCTCTGCAGTGAGTCGACGACTTCCAGGGGCTAGGTATGAAAAGCGCGTCACCACGAGGGCGACCGCGCACACTTCATGGCTTTTGTAATAATAAAATCGAAAGAGACTCGAGAATTGAATGTCAAGGGCACTCCAAGCACATGAGAGTCGGCCAAGAAACAGATAGGTATTCTCTATATTTCACTCTATTTTCGAGCTCTCATTGGCTACGGCTGCAAAAAGGGGTACTGAAAATATATAAAAAAAAATCGAAAATTGCAAATGGAATAACTAATACTTTTTTTTTTTAATTTACACAGTGCATACTGCTTTTTTAGTTCCTGCTTTGTAAGCCAACAAAATATGGCGTTTATTGGTATGTGACAAAAGTCAAGGCCCAGTGTCTATACCACTGAGTCTTTTTCTTCCACTGGGCAATGAAGCCATATTATATTATGTGCATGAATATTAAACGGCGTCGGTAGAGAATCTCATGAAATCCATATATATATATATATAGCAGGCTTCTTATTGTATGTTGTTTAGCCTTTTATATATCTTTTTCAGGTAAAATCTCCATTACGCTAGTATTTCTACTTCTTTCTTTTCGAAACTCCCCATCCCCGCTAAATTTATCAGAACACATCCGCCCTAACAAAGATTTAGCCTCACGTCGTCTGCGAAATACTATTTCCATATTTAACACTCTAGATTCTAGTGCTTCCTCATTCTAAGCATGGATGGTTACCACTCTTACCACAAAAGCAATAAACATCTTCGTTTTTTATCGTTACTACTCTACACGTAACTGCAGAAACTTATATTTAAACGATCTTGGTAGTCGTGGCTTTCTACTTTCGTTCTGTCTAGCTGTCACTTTTCTACTGCAAGAATGGAGGCGTATTTTTTAGAACAATCGGGTTCGTTGGTCCTCATGCTTCTGTTTCTCCTGAAGCTATCTGTAACACCTCGCTAGTGGCCATGACGGGTGAAGGCACAGCCCTGCTGGGATTTTTCGATGTGAATTAATCCTGGCAACTATTGCAGAGCCTGGTTAGCAGATAATGATGCTAAAAAAATTCAGGGGGCTTGATTTCGGCGTCCGAAGGAGAGTACCATAATGTTCCGGGATTACATAAATTATTCGTATGTCATAGTGCATGTAGTGTTCTGAAACCCCTTCGCCAAGAAATGCCAGTATTTTCTCAACTTAAATAGTTCAAACCTCTAAGTTGAGAGAGGGGCGTCGGGGATAACGCTGAATAATAGAACTATTGCAAACGACATTATATGAAACATGAAGATAAGTGTAAACGAGCATGACCAGATCAGAGAAATAATGTCTGCTCTTACAGTTGTTTTATTATATATTATTGCTCTTACACGCGGTATTAATTGTAATATTCTTTCTATCGTTGGTCTCCTTCGAAGGCTCATACAGCCAAAGACACCCGCTAAGAAAGCGCTGATAGATCGACCCCGATCCGTCTGCATTCCGGCATATTCCTTTTTCTAATCCACAAAGCATCGACTCATTATAGTCTTTCTGGCAAAATTATTCACTTTCCTTATGATCAACTCATACCTTGCATCATTTCTTTTTTCTTGGAAATGGGATCAATGAAACAGTGGTATGATTACGTAATGATAACAATGGTAATGATTACGAACGTGGCATTTAGGCAAGGCTGTCCGCTTCTGAGTCGATACTGTGGTCAGCGCTTGTTTCTAGAGAAGCTTCAGATGAAAGCAATATTATCTTCATGCCTCGCCGAAATTTTTCGCCGAATTACTGTAGAAAGTTAGTAGTAGGAAATACCCCTATTATTTCTATTCGAGGTGTGTCTGGTGACTTTGGCTCCTTTGAGTGTGGCATTGGGTTTTCCAGGGCGACACCAAAACATACCTTCACCCATGCCGAGACCATGGCTACCCTTTCCACAAAGCTGTTATCACAGTTTAAAAGGAGCCTGTCTGTTGGCCAGGTCTCAAAGGCAGGACACCGAACTGTCTGGTGTTACTTGCTTTTAGAGCTCGAGAGCCGATGGAGTTCGAGAGCTGTTGGAAGTTTGATGGTGCTATACACCGTGCAATAACGTGCTATTGATCACACAGTAGATTTCATTGAATTATTGCTATATGCTGTCAGTGAAGAAATATTTCGCCGCAGGCCTCTAAAGGTCTTGTTGGCTCCCTTTAGGACTGACGCGCAAGTAGCATTCGAACTAAATTGACCCAGCTGTGATTGCATTTGTTATGCGCGGTGTTCAGACGCATTCGGTGTGCGGTAACAACCGACAGAACGACGACGAAGACCAACAATTATATCTGGAAATAGAAGGTAACGATCTGTAACGTGAAGTGTGCTATAACAGTTATTGTTTACATATTGCTTTCTGTCGATGAATATAGCAAGAGGTGAAGGTGGACTTTCGTATTAAACCAAATCGTGGTACGTAAAAGCTGGATCACTCGCCAGTTACGAATACACAGCGTCGCACACCCAAGCAAACGCTCTGCGGATAGCTGTGGGAGATTATCTGTGCTAAAATTTCCCCGAGAATCGATTACTTTTAATTCCATTTCTGGTAAGCTCAATACATGAGTAAAGTATAAACGGGACGTATTTGGTGACTACTAGTCGAATGTGTGGTTGAAAATCTGCCTTTGGGATATAGTTTGATTTCAGTACCAAGCGATATCTGACCGATTAAGGCTATGGCAAGATACAGTGTATTTATAATTGGAATATATGCATTAGAATCAACCTGTATTTTATGATAATTTCTTATGTGACATAAATTGGATTTTGTTAAGCATGAGGTCTGTAGGGGGGAATTGTTAGCTAATTCCTCGATCTAATATTTAGCCATGCAACAAAAGGTAATATCCCATATTTCGAATTCACGAATATATATATAAGGCTGTTTTCTGTAAGACTATATCTGCAATCATCTCATTTCGATAAATTTTTCGTACACGTTATGCGCGAGGATTTATCGTATATTCAGTACGCTTTGCTGTTTCTCAGCACGAATACGTCCTCATTTTTTGCTGTGTGCCATTGCTAAGCTACAACGGCTGGCCACTGAAACGTGGCCTCGACGTTTGAGACAGCCAACAGGACTGTTGAGTAACTCACTGAAATCGAAACGTTTCTGATAAACCATGATGAACCCGTTGTCCTGAGTGAAATGATACCCTACTATGCGGTTCTATTCTCTTCGAGCAGTTTCCAATTTTAAACAGAGGCCTGAAGGAGATCCGTGCGCCATATTGATAAAGATGTGAAGAGAGAAGAGCACTTTGAAGCTCGTGAGGCCTGCCGCAGCGGAATTTGCACTCACTCATATGTAAACCTACTGCACTGTAAAAAAGGACACATTACGTAAAGAAAGTTTATTCTCATTTTTCATTCATAATTCACTGCTTTCCTATCCATGCACTATCAAGCATGCTGTGATTGAGCAGGTAATGCTGGATAGCTCGCGGTTACGTGTTTGCCTATGAAGGTTAGAGACACAAAGCGAGGCAAGGTCTTGGCTCGACACCGGACGTTGATACACGGTCTTTTTCGTTGAAAGAGACCACAGCCGTTTGAAGTGGCAATGCTTGTCTATAGTAGAATGGAGCGTAAGACCCAAAACATCTAGATCTGGATAGCTTACACCTATCTGAAGCTGAGTACGTTTACTGCGAACAAGCGAAAGGGAAAGGGTTACAGAAAACCTGGTGGAAAGAGTTTCTCATATAACCCATTTGAAACCAGTTTCCTAGTCGTGAGTACGGTATCACTGGCAGTAAACATTTGAGCGCTGCGCCAAATATTCAGTAAAATTCTAATAAAAGTAATAAGGTGTTCAGACAACGGATGGTATGTGTACAGTGATCTGATCCGTAAAATTATCGTTGTCTGTCGATTCCCAAACGAGATGTGTACCACCTTCCTATATTGTACATCATTCACGTCGTTCTGCCGCCGTACAATTGTATACTGACCGGTTTCCACATGGCTCATATAACCGAAATGTTCCCCTATGACTGCCCTTCTGCCCTGCTGACTTGTGACCAGCCTGTAGTAGCAAGACAATCGATTGCCTGATCCACGCCCATATAAAATTATCTTGACGATGGAAACGAAACTACATGTGCCTCATGCCATTGCCAGATATCATCAACATCCACAAAAGAAGTATTAAGCAATTTAATGTTTACTTAGCTTAGGAACAAAGATCGTTTCATTCTAGCTGGTAGTAGTCCAGAAGAAGGTATTCGCCGTAAACATTAGTTTGATTCACGCATTCGGCTTTAGTTAGGGTTATATTATCCACGTAAGTCCATCAACTACTTACAACAGGGGTTGAGATAGATAGTGCTGTGTACCTGTGAGGCTTGCTATAAACGTATTATCTTTGTTGCTATGTGTTTATTATGCTGTCAGTCAGGCCCCAACCTGGTGACACGATGCGACACTGCAAACAACGATGAAGGTAAGTTATAGGGGATCGCAGAGTGCTGTAATGAAAAGTTAGGGCTATTCTAGGGGTTCTTTTGGCGATTTTTTTGGTCTCTTTTGATGAAACGGCGAGCTATTGATATCATCGTGCGAGTCCTGCCTCGTATCTACCTACACACAACAGAACGGACGCGTTCGGAGGGTAGGATCAAACGAGGAATCGTTTGGAGTACAAGGGTCAAGAACGATGTGTTTGGCGTCCAGTGCTCTTGACGTCTGCCCATCGCTTCTGCAGTTTTGAATATCTACTGTATAGTACCGTCTGTAATATATGCCACGTGCGGCAGTTTGCTTGCTGCAAGCGGAATCAATCGGCCCGCATACCCAATTGCTTTCCAAGTGTAAGAGAGATCAGAGACTGTTTCATCTGTAGATATTTACATTGCGTCATGCCTATTGCATCCTTGTCGACCCCCGCGTCATTTCGTTAAAGTTCCCCTGACGCTGCTAAATTTCGCTTTTTGTTATAAAAACAAGCGTCAAAAAACAAACAAAAACGCTGCGATAGCGAATATGTATGCGATCACCAGTCGTTGAGGCTGTGAATCTGACTTTTACATGGAAGAGATCGATCAATAGCAGAACGAACTCTCGCAGCTTTATTAAACCACCTCCGCTCGTTTGAGTAATGGAGTTTATGTAGTGTGCAGCATAATGCAAAAACTCGAGCAGACAGCTTTCTTTAGAACAGAGTATAGTAGTTCCACGCGTTCGATACGGTGAAAAGTTACCGACCTAGTCTATATGTGCCTTTAATAGCATCATTGCTTATAAATTTTATCCTCTAAGAAGCTGTACTGGCCTCGGTAACAGCACAGGATAAAGACAAATAATCAAAGCGTCATTTTGCCGCTTTTCTCTCCTCCAGGTTGTTGCTTTTTCATACTAAACCCGCAGAACGCATGTAAGATACGCGCGATCAATGTTTTTATACTTCGGCCAGAAGAAAAATATTCGCTGCACAGAGTCAACATACACCATAAAAAACGTAGCGAAAACAAATCTGTCCGATTTGGGTATCCCGAAATGGCCATGGGTACACGCTGCCTGCGTCTGCTGTTACCTCTCGAGAATCTGAAAGTGATGGCACGTGCAAAGCAATCCAAAAGACCAAGAAAAATACATCTTTGCTTGTCTGTGATGCCGTTCAGGGGCTTAAGAAATTTTAAAACTTGTCGCTAGTGGTAGTCTATGGTCTATGTGGTTTTTGAATAATCTGACGTAATAATCAGACAGCGAGCGCGAGAATTGCGAAAGTCTGTCCAAGCAAAAGGGGCGTAAAACGAAAAGATATAAAGCATTTGTCGTAGATACGAACTGCAGATATTTTTACGGTTTCATACTGCTCGCCTTTGTGATGGGAAGCATGTTAGAGACATGCTCGCGGCATGGAGAAACGTCGACGGCAAGAAATGATTGTAGACTTGTGTAGCAATATTAATTATGACGCATGGCTGAGGAACACATGTCTATGAGATGAATGAAAACGGTGTTTTAGCGCTACAGTATCACGTTGGAATTGTCAAGCTTTCATATTGTTTACTCGTATAGAGTACCTAGGCGTACTGCAGTTTCAGTCACCTAGTTACAACCGATGTTGGCTGCAATACAGGTATAAGGTTTTCTTTCTAAAGATTCAGAAAAGATCTTGCTTCTATTTCTCGAGCGCCCGTCACACACAAATATACGGAAAACGTTGTGACATGTGTTTTTGACGTTACATATATCCAGCAATTTTAATCCATAAATAAGTTTCTTGTTAAAATGTTCTCCTTTATTTTAGCACCAACTAAGAGTTAAATCGAAACTTGCCCCGTGGTTTTGCCACGACCACGCAGTAGCCGTCGTCACTCTTCTGGCCGCCTTTTCCAGTACATGAAAGTGTTATTACTTAAAAGAGATAATCAAGGTATCAGGTAATATCTTCAATTCTATTTCCGGGCTGCAGGCTGGTCTGCGTGTAACACCTTTCATATTCGCACTCGTCATCACCCGGAAGTAAGCGTCAGCTATGCTATTCCAGTTTACTCTGGTTTTATATCGTGGTAAATTGAAAACGATGTTGGTGTTTAAGCTATTTCCTGTGGGCGCTCTATGATGCAACACAGGATCTTCCATCTGCTGTCGCTATAGCACAGTATCTAAGCGGAAGTTTCTGCTCTTCTACTCAGAACCTTCACGGTACATAGCGCTTCTTATGCGAAAGCGACTTGCTCAATATAGGCAATACGAGATTCAGCCGCTCTAACTTACTTCAAAAGCTCATTTCTGCGCAGTGTTTCGTCGAGTAAAACTATCGAAGGCAGCTTACAAGAACATCAAAACGTGTAACTATTTATCTGGCAGCACCTTTAATGACTTTATGTTTGTTGGCAACTTTATCTTTGATAACATATTTGCTTGATCGCACTGGCCTGTAGCGTTATAGGCCCGCCACGGCCTCACTAGTGCTATCTCGAACAGTCAGTGCTCCATATCTAGCTATAATAAAGATTATTACGATATTACATGATAATAAGCTCTATTGCGATGAATGTAACTACGAGGGGAACTCACTCGGACAACAGAGTGTCTCTGCTAAGCTATTTTTGCTAAGTTGGTATCAATATTGTGTCGTGTGGTGAGCCAACCTTTTGTTTCTTGTTACGTGAATAACTTTTACCTCTTTTGGTCCTGTAAAGACCATTAAGGGCTCAATCAAGGCCACTAGGCAGAACTGGTGCAGTTTTTATCTCTACATTTTATAGCATCTCTGCGCCGCGTCAAGTTACGTATCATAATAGTAAACTGTGGAAAGCAGCAATACTAATTAGTTTAACCAAAAA